GGCGTGCGGGGGCCGGGCGGCGGGGCCGGGGCTATGCGAGGTCACGGGCAGGGCTGCGCGGCCGCTGGCCGCCCCTGGCCCTCCCTGCGGTGCCGGGGCTGTTTGGGGAGCGGGGAGGCGGCCGGCGCGGCGCGGGGCAGGGACAGAGAGTTCCGCGGCTCCGCGGAGCGGGGAGATTGTTAAACTCATCTTCTGCAAAACACTGCGGCGCGTTGGGTCTCGGAGGGATAAAAATACGGAGAGGAAAAACAAGAAAGCACAGCCAAAATGGAGTGAGAGTTAATGGTTGGCATGCAGCCTTCGACTTTGTGTGATTTTTTTTATTTTTTATTTTTTTTCCCCTCCTTCTTCCTTCCCAGTTGCTTTCCCCTACAGTAATTGTTTTAAGAGCGCAACTTGGAAAGGTTTTAGCACTCTGTTGAGCAGTAGGGAATTGGGGCACATGAGGAAACTCGGATTTAGCGTAACTGTACCAGCAGATGTGGCTGCCTCGCCTCCAGCCAGTGGTACTTTAGCAGGGCTGCTGATACGCCAGGTCTTGCTGAGGCGGCGTGGAGCAATCGAGTGTAAAAACAAGGTTTGTGTGGGTGGTTTTAAATAGACACCTCGGGAGAAACGCTGCTTTCAACCCTCCAGTCGAGGCTTCCTCTCCAAAGTCTCTAGTTTTCTTCCAAATGCCGGGATGTGTTTGGGAGGCCAAGGCCTGGTTTTCTTTTCGTTTATTTGTTGTCGTGTTGCGCGTGTCTGTGTTTTTTCCTTTGACTTCGCAGAGCGCAGCCTGTTGGGTTTATTGTTCCTCCTCTTGCCTTGATTTAGAGTGGAGTTGAGGAGCCCGGGTCGTGGGGTTTTGTGAGGGTGACTTTGTGCTAAGGACATCTGGAGGAATAAAACTGACTGACACTTCTGATTTGAGCTTCACTGAGCTGTTCTGGACCCAACTTGACAATTTTGGTGGGGGTGAATGGGTCAGAGCTGTAAATCTTGCTCCATGTTGTCGACACCCACACAAGTTCACTCAGCCTTTCAAAGGGGCTATCCTGGCTCCTGTGAAAATTCATTAAGGGATAAAAGATTTGACACTGCGGGTCCCCTCCTACCGCCACATGAAATTTGAGAGCCAAAATGTGTCTGCGTGTGTGTCCCAGTGCCTTTTCTGACAGGTGATCCTTTTTGCAGCCCGGCTGGAGGGCTGCTGCTTTGACCAGGCAACCCAGAGGTGTCAGTGCGTGTCTTCCCATTGATTCCTGTAGGCTTAGGAGCAAGCCCGGCTTGCCCCGCAGAGCACCAGAGCAAAAGCATTTCTGTACTTTTCTTTTTTTAAGTAAAGCAAACACAGCAGGTGAGGTCTTATTTTTAGAGAGACCGAGGAGTTGGTGTGTTTCCAGCAGTGCATACGAGCACTGTAAGTGGCCCACCCTCTCCCCATTCGTGTCCTGGGACTGACCTCCCCAATCCTCCTTTGGCTTGTCTTTGCTTTTAAAGGCTGCCGTGTGCCTTTACGGGGTGAAGAGATACTGGCTTCCCTAAACGTGTTTGCGTGAGGGGTCAGGAGAGGTGGGGGCCACCAGGGGAAGAAATCTGCCTTAGCGTGTCAGCCTGGCTCAGAAAGGGTTAAAGCTGCTCTGCCAAGACATAAAGCAAGTTCAACGTGTTGTGGGAATATCACTTGCCAGTAGACTCCAGTCACCACAATTTCTGATTTAACAGCTTAACTTGCTGTTAACTTTCCCTGATACACTCCAGGTTTTGGATGGGAATGCAGAAAGGAGAGAGGAACAATAAAGAAAGGAGTTAAGTGAGGCTACTAAAATGGACTTAAATCCCTTCCCTGGGTCCTGCCAGCTGTCTTTAGAAGAGTTAAGCAAGATTGCATTTCCTTTTTTTTATGCAATAAATCAAATGTTTCTGGGCTGCATACCAAAATTTGTGCAATACGTTCTTACTCCCCAGTGGGGTGAGTAAATGGTACTGAATACCCCATTCACCTTTTTCAGCTTGATTTTTCCACAGCTCCGGGAGTCCCTGCTGCAGCCCCGGTACCCGCGGGGCGCAGGCGGCGCTCCCCTGCCCGCCCCGGCCCCCGTCCCGCCGGCGGAGGGGACAGGAGTCCCTCCTGTGCTCGCAGGACGGGAGGCAGAAAGGTGACCCCCGGCGCGGGACGGAGTGGGCTGCTGATGGGGACGAGCAGTGAAGACAAAAAAGCGAGGGCTAAAAATAGCAGCAGCATTGCCAACCTCAGCCATATAAATGTCATGCGAGCCAGGTGCCAGTAATCAGGAGGGGTTTTTTTATTTTTTTCCAAGCACGAGCTAAACAGCAAAACCCCTGCTCCTGGGTCTGTTTTGTTGGGCTGACGGCTCGATGATCGAAAGTTTTGTGTTTTGAAGCTTGCTCCTTCCAAGCTGTGCGTTGGAAATCTCATCCTCTCTCTTTTAGATGAAAAGGGAGGCTCTTCTGCAGCGCAGCGCTCGGTGGCTCCTCTCCCTGTGGGTACCACTGGGCGCCTCATCCCAGTCACTCTGCCCAAGAGGCAGCCCCGGGGTGGTTTTTGGCTGCCAAGGCACCTGCCTCTCCCCGCCAGCCTCTGCTGGCCCTTTGCAACTTGGCACCTCAGGGCGTTGTGGCCCTGCGCCCTGTGTGAGGTTGCCCGTGGACTGGTGTGGTGCTCGCTCGGCACGTGGGAGGTTGGCGCAGGTCCTTCAGCGATCGAGTCAGCTCCCTGCTCTCCTGGGGCTGCCCTCTGAGAGGTGTAACGCAGAGGGACCATCAGCATCTCTGGCGGGCAGTCATCGGTGTAGCAGGACATCAGTCTGCCCGCTGTATTTTGGAGGGGTGGAGGGTGGTGGAGGCTAGGATGCACAAACTGGGGTTTTCTCCTCCTGCACACGCCGCTGGGTTTGGGTTGATGACTTTTTGCTGTGCTCCCTTTTAAACGCTGCACTGCTCCACAAAGAAGTGAGATATTTTTTTTTTTCTTTTTGCTGTCCAAATCCAAATTTTGCAGACTGGGCCATCTGTCAATTCCCTCCTACGTTGTTCTGTTCATATTAAATTGTAATGAAGGCCAGACTGAAGAAGGAATTAGGTCAGACAGGAGGTTTAGTCTCTGTTTTTGGGGAGACGTTTGTTGCCCAAGAGAGGCACAGTGGTTTGGTTGGCTCAGCACAAGCCTGGATGCAAGGGATGCCTGAGCTGTCCTCCGAGATTTGGCAACAGGACCTTGTAGCACATTGTGGCCTCTTGGCCCGTGACTCCCCAGCAGCTGGACAGAAGTTGTCGATCCAACTGAATGCAGCAAATCCTGAAAAAACCTTTCATGGCCTCAGGCAGGAGGGTGGCTCCGCTGCAGACTTGCCCTCGGGCTCGCTCCTGCCACACCACAGCTGCACCAAGGGGACCTTTTCTGTTGGCATGTCCCTGCTGGCTGTGGGCTGCTGAGAAGTTTTTGGTGGCCCCTGGCCACGGGTGCAGCAGCCTGTGCTGTGTTGGGGAACGCTCAGGAGTCCCAAGGCAGCCAGGAGCATCCCATGCACAGCAGCTCATGGCTGAGCTGGCTTCCACAGCAGCCTGGCAAGGAGAGGCCAGCATCGTGCTCCAATGGCTTGTCTGAGCCTCTCCTGTGCCCAGAAGGCTGCTCTCATGGGCGATTCCTGGGATGGTACAGGGCATCTGTGCATCCAAGAAATTCCTCTTGCATCACCTTCTTGCATGCTGAGTGGGGTCTGAGTCCTTGTTAGGGGGAATCTGGTGCTCACCTGGCATGCCTCATGCAGCTGTTCCCACTACCCCCAGTTTAAAAAAAAGCATCCTGAAGCGTTTGAGCTGTCTGCGGGCACGTAAGGAGGAATGGCAGGCGGCATGGCTGATTGAACCCGCTTTGGCAAGAATGAACTTTTGGGTGTAGCCTCTCTCCTAGTGGACACAGGACCCTGTACCTTAGGAAAGCAGCCCGCTTACCTCTCACTGGCTTACACCCGTTACCTCTCACGCCAGAGACACTTTCTAATAAAAACGGAAGGGTTTTCCAGCCATTGGTGTGGAAATTTACTCCTGTCCCATAGCTGAGGGCTCTGTGCCTGTCCTAATGCTTGGAGTAGAAACCAAAAGCAGTGCTGTCCCACGCTTCAGTGCAGAGTGAATGCTCAGAGGGATTCATAGGGCTTTAACTCACGATGCTGAAGAGGATTTGGTCATGACAACTGAAGCTGTGTGCAAGCCGTGCAGCTGACATGGTGCTTGCACCGGGCCACGGGCTGTGGGTACCCAGCCATGCTGTGACACCCTGTTTTGGGAAGCAGTGCCTGCTCTGGCAGCTGCACCATGAGCTCTTCTGCATGGGTGCTGCTCATCCCTGATAAAGAGAAGTGAGAGGAGGGAAAGATCAATTGATGTGCTGTGCTGGTGATGGCCCCCCCAGGAGCCTGTCTCACCTTTGGGTGAAGCCTGGGGGCTTTTCCTCTGCTGGGTCTGTAGGGCCAAAGTGTGAGGGAGGGGCTTACAGGGTTGGGTTGCAGCTCCATCAAGCTGGAGAGAAAATGCAGCACCAGGTAGTAAATAAAGATTCTTTTTACTTTGCTGCCTGGTTTCTCATTACATGGAGGGAGCGGACAGACGGCAAGGTGACAGTGGTGCAAAGGGCTGGTGGCTGATGCAGGAGAAAAGGGGGACTTCATGACATCACACACCTCCACGTCAGCCCTGGATGACACCATTTAGACCCTGCCTGTCCTCAGGGGAGCTTCCTGGCTGGAGTTACGGGGTGAGTGGGCACCCTACAAGAGACCGCAGTGGAGGCAGGAGGGCTGCCAGGGGCCACCTTGTGTGGGTTGTGCAGGAGCAGGTCTTTTCTGAGCATCGCAAGTTTTTTTCCACAGAAGGTATCAGGTCTCCCCAGCATCAGATATCGCCCCGCCAACAAAACCTCACTCTCCCCTTGCTTCAGAGCATCTCATCCCTTTCTTTGCACTGGATGTGGAGGAAAAATGCGTTAGTCACCCCTGCAACTGAGGAAGCTCCTTCTGGGGGGACCGGCTGTAGTTTGTGGGAGGCCAGTGCGCAGGCTGCTCGTTAGCCACAGCGCTTGCAGCCAGTGTGAGCCTAATTGGGGACGGGGGATTATTTGGGTGCCCTCAAGTCCCACATCAGCAGCTTCGGTGGCGGCACTGGTTGGTGTGCGTCTGCTGCTCTGGCAATGAGCTGCCGGTGCTACCTGCACCCCAGAGACACCAGCAATCAGGATTTGCACGTAAAAAAATAGGGAAAAAGAAAGAAAAAAGGTGAAGGAGCAGGATCATTACTGTCTTTCTGTCTTGTCAGTTGGAGATCCGGCTGCTGATGCTGTAGCACCAGGGGCATGACTCAAGCAGCGCAGGTGATGCTGCAGTCACGCTGAGGGGGCCCAGTAAATACCTGTTGGCCACTCGATAAAAAAAATCAAAGTGAAAGAGTGTTAGTGGCAAAACACTGCAGCTTGGCAATGTGGTGCAATCACAGCCTGGTGCTGTCCCTCTCTGTGGCACCATCCATGGTGCCATAGACCAAAGCCCCCAGGGTGGGATGAAAGGAGACTGGTGCTACTGGAAAAGCTGGTCCTGATCCCATTGTATGCCGGTTTGAGCCTGGTTTGTTCCCAGTGCTGCTGCCTCTCTTTTCCTGAGCTCTGGAGAGCTTTTGCCAGCCTTGCTGGTCTCTGCCAGGACAGGCTGAGTTATATGATGGACATCAAAGCTTGTGTGTGGGGGGTTGCCCCCCTCAGCCCACCCAGACCTTGCTGCCTCCATTTTGGCTTTTCTTGCTGCTGATCCCTGTCCTCCTGCCACTCAGACGAACTCACGACTTGTAAGCACAGCACATTTCTAGCAGTGACAATCTGAGCTACGTGCTAGTAAAAAATTGGTAGCAAGGGTGGCTTTATTGCTGGCAGGACCGTAGCAGGGCCCCGGGGGAGCTGGGCTAATTTCCTGGCTGTGCTGCAGACTTCCCCTGTGACCTTGGGCAAGTCATTTAATCTATCCTGGGCTTCGGCTCCATCTCCGAGCATCCCGGGGGGGTGAGGTAATATTCATTAACTGATATTATTCTAGAGTTGCTCAGATGCTATAGTGATGAGGGCTGGATGTGAAACCCAGCGTCTTGGCTGAGTGTTAGTGGGGAGAGGGGATGCTCTGCTTGTGATTCAGCATTGCCCATGCCAGCTACTGTTTTCCCACACTTCTCCTCATTTTGAGCTGATCTGTCTGGCCACCATTGTTATTTGGCTGTGTGTATACAGTGATGCTAATCACTGAGGGACTCGAATGCTTTGAACCATTCACGGATGTTGCTTCATGCAGTGATGCAACAGCACCCTCGCTTTACACCTGCAGAAGCTGAGATGGAGGTAAAGATGTTTGCTGGAGCAGAGTCAGAGGAAATCTTTGGGTTAGTTAGCAAATATCCAGGGAGTTTCTTTTTTAATCCTCGGTGCTGGCTGATACCCCCTCGGCCTTTCTTGGTGATGCCTCAGGCGTGTTTCCCGTGGGACCGCTCCGCTCCTGAGGGATGTCTTCTCGGTCCCAGCTCTCGTCAGCAAACATGGCTTGTGCAATCAGCCCCTTGATTGCCCGAGCCTCGGCCGTGCGGGTCTCTCACACGCTGGGGGTGAAGGCCACTGCTCCCTGGCAAAACCCAGCTTTCCTCAAAAGCAGCTCTAGGACAGGTTGGAACTTCATTTCTGCTGTGGGGGAACACGCGTTCAGGTAGGGCATGAAAACCTGTCATCAGAAGTAAAAAAAAATAAAAAAATCACCCTGTTGAGAGAGCACGGGGAATAAAAGCCTTTCAGAGCTCAGCTGAAGTGGGATTTTCCAATGGAAAAACCGCTTCAATGCAAACCTTGTCTGGCCGGAGCGGCTGACCGGCGAGGCCGAGCGCAGGGAACCAGCCTCACCCCGTCCTTCCCTGCAACATCCCAACGCTCCGGGCATCAAACCCCCGGCGTGCTGGGGGCTGGGGGGTGTGCGATGCCCGGGGGAGGTGGCAGAGAGGGGTCTCTCACGCCGTGTTAACGCTGTGCCTCTCTCCCCAGGTGCAGAGGATGTGTGCGGCGAGGCGGATGCTGCTGCTGCTCCTGGCTTTCCTGGCCTACGCCTTGGATTCGGCCGCGGCGTACGGCACGGCGGAGACCCTCTGCGGCGGGGAGCTGGTGGACACGCTGCAATTCGTCTGCGGGGACAGGGGCTTCTACTTCAGTAAGTGCCAGGCAACTGCTGGCGGCAGGCGGGATGCTGCCCCCACACCATGCATGTCTTCGGGGCGGCCGGGCTGGGAGGGAAAGGAGGGATTTCCCAGCGTGGTGCTGCTTGTGATTGCCTTGTACAGGGTGATGGGTGAGGAGAGGAGCGAGAAAAGCCGTGTGCTCAAGGTGATGTGCACCCATCTTGCACCAGTTTTGGGGACTCTCTGGTCCCATGGGGAAACTGAGTCCTGCATTCGATGCTTGGGAAACTCATGTCGCTGGGGAGCCGTGGGTGATTGGCTCACCAGTGATGCGGGCAAGTCATTAAACTAATGAGGATGTCTGCAGCCAGCTTGGGTCCTTGCTTATTTTTAAACCTTGCTGCCCATGTGCTGCATCCTGAGAGCAGGCGGGAGCTGAGCACTCCCTCTGTCTAGGCAGGCTTTGCTTGGGTATAGCAGCAGCTTCTGGGCTCCTCCCAAAATATGCTTTGTTGTCTCCTGGCTGCCTGCTGGTGAACCTGTTGCTGAAAGGTGATGTCTAACCCTTGTGCAGTGCAGTTAGTGCAAAAAAACGCAGCATTGCTGTTGTCCACAGAGTGCAGGTGCCTTCCGTACAGTTGGCTGTGGTGGCCTTTCCACCAGGATACTGAGGGGGTTTGGACCGTTGGCACCAGCAATGCAACGGCTTAACTGGTAAATGGGGAGGAGGAGGAGTACACCAGTAACAATGGATGCTCAGTAATCTGTAGGTGAAGGTGTCTCAAGTGTTACAGCTTGTTCTGGTGTTTTGGTGTCCTTCTCTGCTTGGCAGAAGGAAGACCCTGTGTCTGGCTGCCCACTGAGGACTGAACCACAGAGTGACTGAGTACAGGAAAGATGCAAATCCAGACAGGGGGGAAGAGGGTGGAGATCCCACCTGCACATGGTGCCATGCATTTGGCAGGCTTGCCTCTGCCTTGAGAAAGGGAATTTAAAAGTCTCTTTCAAGGAACAGGGTGTTTTTTGGAGCAGTGGAGTCGAGAGTCATCTTCCCTCTCGTCCCCATCTGCCTGTGCAGTGAACACGGCGCTGCAAAGGTAGGAGAAAACCCTGGATGTCCCTTCCCAGCCTGGATGATCAGGCAGACTTGGCTGATGGGGCAGGGAGAAGCGCAGGGGTCCTACATCCAGCAGCAACCAGTGCTAGGGCTGTGTAATTTTGGGCAGGCAGTTGGGCTGCAGGTGGCTTTGCAACTACCTGGGGGAGATGGCCCTGCCTGTCCCAGCTGAGCAGTGGGATGTTTTCATGGCTCCCCCGGCTGTTGCGGGCAAGTGGCACTTTTGGGGATGCCCTGGGCATGCTTCCTTCCTCTCACTGAGTCCTTCCTCTTCTCATCTCCCCTTCCACCTTTCCTCCACCAACGAGCCCTGCGCTGGAGCTCGGCCAAGGTGGTGGGTCCAGGGCTGGCCTTACTGGTGCGGTGAGGAGGTGAACCCCTCTCACGCTCTCACACCTCTTCTGTTCCCTCTATATATAGAGGAGCATCCATCTCCCTCCCGTGGTTTCTCTTCCCTCCTCCCCCTCTCTGGGGATGAAAAGGAATGGGGCTTTTGTTTTATGGACAAACTGACCTCCTTTCACCTCAAATAACCCAGCCACCCAGGCCAAAATAAAAACACTTTTGAAGGCAGACAAGTCGCTTGGTGCCAAGTGGCAAGTTTGGTGTTTGCAAGGGCATTCTTCCTTTCTTTTTTTCTTTTTTTTTTTTTGTCCTGTCCCATCCTCCCTTCTTTATGAATATTTCTGGGGTATCCAGGTGCTGGGGCATGAAGCAAAGTTCCCCCCAGTCCCATATTTTAACCCCTTTGGCATCTGGCCAACCTGTGCCACGCAGGGCAGGAGACACTTGGGTGATGGCTCTACTTGATGAAGGGTTTGGACATCCCCAGCTCACCTCGTTTTTTCCATTTGTTCCATCAGTTGGCTTCATCTTCACTCCTAAACCTTCATGGACACACTATTGCCACCATATAGGCTAAATAGGCTCAATAAATCATGTTTGATTTATTGACCCTATTGTGGGTTTATGTCTTAAAACCGGGATTGGGTTTGTCATGAGCACTTCTCAGCATGGGATGTGGGACCAGATGAGCAGCCTGCTCTAATGCAGCCATTCATATGAGAAGCAAATGGCTTGGGCAGCCTTGTCCTGCAGGTTCAGGTGGGCCCTGCTTTCTGGGCAGGGCTTGTTGAAAGCATCCGACTGGTAATCTTGGAGAAAAAAAAAAAGGTATGAAAATCCATTATCAGTTTTCTGCTTCAGCAGTGATTTAAGCACTTGAACAACGCTCTACATTTGTACAAGGGAGCACTTAGCTAGCTCTGAAATACAGCGCTGTTTGCATCCATACAAGCGGATGCAGCGTACCGACGGTGTTCCATCCCCCTGGCATCTGGCAACAGGGGAAATATGCAACTTTGACTGAGGAAGTTGCACCCCCTGATAACTGGGATGCCCATCTGTCTGCTGGCATGGGGTGAGTCCTGGTCCCCAGATGCCCTTGGAGGCATGGTGGCTGGCAGGTGCTTGGGGCTGAGGATGTCGCAGCTGTCTCTGAGAGCTGCAAAAGAGCTGCACCCACAGGGACTGGGATGTGGCAGCACCAGAGTTACCCAGCCGTGGCACCCAGCGTGGGGGTGGCGATGGTGATGGTGATGTGCACCACACCAGCCCCGTGCCACATCCCAGGGATGCTTGGCCAAGCTACGGCTGCGGCCATGAGTGCTTTACTCTCCACCTCTGCCGTGATTCCTCTGTGACTTCTAAGGTTTTTGGGGCTGGCTCACAGGTGCCGTCAGGGCGGTGGCATCCCGCTGCGGCTCTGCTGCAGGGTTGGGAGCCCCTCTCCCTGCTCCCTGGCACCCACTCCAGGGGCGGCGGAGGGATGCTGAGCGCAGCCCCCAGTGAAAAAAGCGGGGCAGGTCGAGAGGAAGCCCCAGCCACGAAGTTGCTGTCATGCACTGCTGGCGGGGAGGGCAGAAGGGGCTGCAGGGGGAGAGGCGTCCGACTTCTCTGTAAACAACAGCTCCTGTTTCCTCCTTTCCAACAGCTGATAAGAATTTAGCTCTTTGCAGCCGCTTGTGCTGACGGGGCACATTCTTGCGCGCCCGCCGCTCCTCCGAATAATACTAGGAAAAAGCAGGGGGGAAAGCGCGGTGCCGGGGTGGGGGAGGGCCAGGCTGGGGGCACTGGGACGGGGCCCGGCGCTGCACAAAGGCCCCCTTGTTGCTCCCGACATTCCTGCGACAGGGGCGCGGGGACTGTTTACACCCAAAGTCCCCTTCCACTCGGCTTGCTGCCTGATTGATCGGAGGAGAAGAGGGGACCCTGCCAGGGTGGCACCAGCACCGTGCACCCCTCCCCGTGGGCATCCATCCGGCTCCGGTGAGGGTAGGGAGCCCGGAGTGGCAGGGTGGCGATGCCAGGGACTCTTCTGTCCCCTCGCGGCCGTGCCACCACCTCCAGCGCGGAGCTGCAGGTACGCGGCCTCTGGGTGCTCCCAGAAACAGATTTGGCTTCGCACCGCCACTGGGATGCCCAGGTCTCCCTGATGGGATAGCCTGCTGCCGGCTGGGAATAACCCTGGATAGGGGTGGGAATAACCCTGGGTAGCCGGAGGGCTTTGCATCGCCGGGCTTTGCATCACCGCAGAGCTGCGGGAGGTTTTGGTGGAGCACAATTTGGGGAAAAAGAGAGCACCAGCCGTTCATTGAAGGCTGAGAGGAAGCTCGTTTCCTCGGGAGGAGGAGGTCATTGCTGCCATGGGAAGTGGCTCGCGCACGCAGCCCGCACAGCTTTCTCCTGTGGGCGAGGGATGGAGTGGCTGAACCCTTCCCGGGTTTGGCAGCGGCGGTAAATTGAGATGCCAGCCGTGGGCAAAAGCCAGGAGATTCAACCTTTAGTCCGTGCGTAAATCGTGTTATGGAACAAACACTTTTCCCAATCCAGGTCAGCAGTGATATTGCCGTTAACCAGAAACGGCCTGGCATCCCTTCCCTGGGTTGTTGTCTCCAGGTACTTTCTGGGACTACATCTCTCTTTGTTATGTTTGCCTATTTTTATTTTTTTATTTTTTTTTCCCTAAAGTAACTCTCCCACAGAGGATTGTATTGGCATTTGGCGAGATCCGTACGGACAATTATGTAATGGGGAAATGTGCCCTCTCGGAGCGTCGCAGCGGAGCTGGCAGCGGCACCAGCAAGGGGAGAACAGCACGCAGCAGCTTTATGCAAGAGAGAAGGGGCAGGGCTGTGGGGCCGGGGGCTGTGGCTGTGCCCCCCGGCCGGGCAGGGGCAGCCAGCGGGGAGGAAGGGGCAGTGCCACCTCCGTGGTCCCTGCCGGGAGCTGGCCCGGGCAGTGCCACACCTGCGCTGCTGTCATCCCACCACGCGCTCCCACGGCAGAAAGTGCCCTTGATGGCCAGGAGGTGAAAACGGTCCCGCTTTGCTTGTTGTTTTCCACCCCTCCCTCTTCTTTCCAAACAAAACACATAGCTGCAAGCGGGCAACTTCTGTTTTCAAGAGGAGACGTGTAACCTTCCAAAACCTCAACTTCTCCCTCAACCGTGCGTGTCATCACTTGTGCAACCTTCTGTTCAGCAGGAGTGTGAACGCAGCCCTCTGGGGATGTGCTAGCGAGAGGGGGTGACTTGAATTTTTTCTCTTTTCCTTCCAAACTCTCCTTCTGCCCGTGGTTGGGATGCCTTTCTGGAGCAGCCTAGTGCTTCAGCAACCTGCCACATGTGCAGGTTTGGGTGCTGAGCGGGGTTGATATGTGGTGCAGGGTGTCGGTGGCAGCGCAGGTCTCCCATGGACCTCACCAGGCATTGCATGCCTGTAGAAGAACACAGGCAGGTGGCTCCTCTCCCCTGTGTCCCTCAGGCATTGCCACCTGGTTTGCCTGCGCTCCATGCACCTGCCTTTCAAGGGAGGGCCCCGTCCAGCGTGCTTGTTGGCCACAAGCATTTATAGAGAGAAAATTAAACTCCTAACAGTGCTCCTTCTCCTATACCAAGAGGGAACTGTCCTTCTCACCTTCCTGTGGGGCTGGCTAAAGGTCACGCCTGAAATTTTTCCAGAGAAAGAGAAAAAGGAAAGGAGGGTGGTGGCGCAGGGGGGGTGAATGTGGAGAACAGAGCATTTTAAACGGGTCCCGAAGGCGGGCTGCGTGCTATGAGTCAGCTGCCCCATCCCCTGCACCCTGATGCCGCGTTTGCTCTGGTGACCTCCAGGTGCGATGGCGATGCACCGGCATGGAGCAGAGGGCTGCCCTCTGACGGGGGCAAGGCTGGATTTAACAGGGCGCGGGTGCCACGATGCTTTGCTGTTGCAGAGCCCGTGGTGAGGAACAGGAGCGGGGTTTTGGAGGGCTGCATTGCACACATGGGGCTGCATTCCCGTGCAGGGCTGCATTGCCCATCCGTTTTTGCCTTGCGCATACGGGGCTGCTCTTCACACACGGGGTTGCATTGCATGCATGGAACTCCTGCGCTTTGTGCTTTGTCCTGAGGCTCTTTGGGTGGGCACCCAGGTGGGATATGCCCTCAGGAAATTAGCCAGCAGCTGCAAGCCAGGGCCCTTAAATCTTAATGAAGGCCAAACACCTGAGTGCCCGCTTCATCTGGAGCACATGGGGGGATTGCGGGTCATGCAGTGGGGCCAACATGGACCATTTTGTGCATTCCCACAGGCTGGCTGGGAGACGGGGGCTTGGCCAAGCGTGGCAAAGCGAACAGCGTTAGGCATTGCTCACTCTCAATTTTTCCCACTCCCAAATTTTCCTGGCCGGGACATGGTACCAGATCCTGTTTGCAAGCCCCACTGGTCCTGGCCTCTGCTCCCCTCCTTTGGAGCACCTTGCACTGGGAAGAGGTGCTCACGGCAGCCTGCAGAGCCCCTGCCATAAACCCCACAACAGCCCAAGCACATAACATGCTGTGCATGAAAACACAGAGAAAATCCTTTCTTTTTGGGATGGTTTACGTTTTGGAAGTTGCAATTCCCAAGCGAATTTGTTTTGCATCAGAAATTCAAATTTGCCCATCTCTTTTATTACAAGAAGGGGAGGAAACCCAGTAAAACTCATGTAAGCTGTTCCTCCAGAGTGCTTTGGCAGCCATTGAGCGGTGACATGAAATGCACTTGCTTGTTGCTGCTCCGGACACGGGCTTTCGCATCCTTCCGCAGGCAGAAACGGGAGAGGAATCCTTATTAAAAGATTAAGTTTAATAGCTATTCTTGGCGGGTGCAAGAGCCTGTATTCTTTCTGCAGCTGTCTCAGAGCTGTCCCATCTGGTAAAATTTAGCCGCCTTGGTTCGCTTCACCTGCCTGAGCGTCGACCCGACAGAGGGAGGTTGGCAGCCGCAGCACCACGCTGCTTCTTTCTAACAAAACTCACTTGCCAGGATCAACATCAGAGATGGTGGCAGGAATCGGCGCAGCCCTGGCAGCCGGGCTGGCCTCGAGGTTCCTCGCTTTAGCTGCGCCCGAAAAGGCCACCCATGCCGGAGATATAGGAGGGGAATAAATCACTGCGGTATAAAGTGCCTGTAATTAGCGCTGCGCACACGCAGGAAGCCCTGTTGGCATCAACAGCGTTTGTCTGGGAAAGCCTTAATGTGAAATTCAGCTGGTTTGCGGGCGCGTGTCGGCTGGTTTGGGAGAAGCACTGCTATTTTTGAAATGTGTGGGACCAACCAGGCTCCGGTGGCTGGTGGAGGGATGCCTGCGAGGGGATGGGTGCCGTGGAGTGAGGAAGAGGGTCCGGTCCGTGTTGGTGGCTAACGTGAGGGTCTCTGTGGTTGCAGGTAGACCGGTGGGACGAAATAACCGGCGGATCAACCGAGGGATCGTGGAGGAGTGCTGCTTTCGGAGCTGCGACCTGGCTCTGCTGGAAACCTACTGCGCCAAGTCTGTCAAGTCCGAGCGCGACCTCTCTGCCACCTCCCTGGCGGGCCTGCCGGCGCTCAGCAAGGTAGGGGGGCTCCTCCAGGATGGTGACCCTTCCCCAAAATAAATAGCAAGGTGGGAAGGACACGGGTGGGAAAGAACAACCCCCAGCTCCAAAGTCTGCTGCTTCTGCGGAGCCTTTGAGAGATGGCTGCTCTTAGCAACTCATGCCAAACACCCTGCAGAAAGTCAGCTTTTAATAAAGTGAGGGATCAGAGGTGGGCTGAATCATAAATCATAGAACAGTTTGGGTTGGAAGGGACCTTTAAAGGTCATTAGTCCACGCCCCCTGCAATGAGCAGGGACTTCAACTAGATCAGGTTGCTTGGAACCCCATCCAAGCTGACCGTGACTGTTTCCAGGGATGGGGCAATGTTTCCATGGGATGGATAGAGCTCAAAGAGGGGAACCCCCGTCTGGAGGGCAAGGCAAGCTTGTGGTGAGGTTGACATTGCCGTCCTGTCCCCTTGCAGGAGAGCTTCCAGAAGCCCTCACACACCAAGTACTCCAAGTATGAAGTGTGGCAGAAGAAGAGCTCCCAGCGGCTGCAGCGGGAGGTGCCCGGCATCCTGCGAGCTCGCCGGTACCGGTGGCAGGCCGAGGGGCTGCAAGCGGCTGAGGAAGCCAAGGCGCTGCACCGTCCCCTCATCTCCCTGCCCAGCCAGAGGCCCCCGGCAGCACGAGCCTCCCCCGAAACGGCCGGCCCCCAGAAATGAACCCTGACCGGCCATCTCGATTTTTGATCTCCCGGGGGAGGGCGGGAGGACTGGCGAGACCTGGCCCCCGAGCCCCTCCGTCCCCGGGGCCGTTGAGCCGAGGAGCGGGGCGGCCGGGGCACCCTCACGCCGCTCCGGCCCCAACCAAACAACTGACACAGCAAGGAGGGGATGGCGGCGAGCAGCGCCGCTCCTGCGGCATCGTCCTTTCGGGGGGGGGGGGGGGGGTGTTGTGTTGC